AGGGGGGACTTTGGAGGCCCCTTTAGCCCAGGTCTTTGTGAGTGTTAGTCTTTGAAATCACCAAATGCGTGTGTGCAGAATTCTATGGCTCTGTAAGAAAAGGAGATAGTGCAAGCATAGTTTTAATTACATTTTGTGATTGTATGTTAGGCGGTGTGTTCACAAAAAGGCAGAAGGCTGGGTTATATGGTCTTTCAAGATCCTCACACTTGCTTTCTCTGTGAGCAGGGTGAGCAGATGCACAGCCTGATACAGTTTTGGTGATCCAGTTGGGTGATCTGGTGTAGGCTTAGTCTGGAGGAGCATGAACTTGTGGAGAAACACCACACCAGCCACACGGTCCTGTTGATCTCCGTACTGCCATAGCTAAATCATAGTGGAGCTGCTCTTAATTGTGTGGGAGATGCCTGGAGTGGGTGAGATGGGAATCCTTCTGGAGACAGACGATGCAGTTAGAGGTAGAAAGGCAGTACCTATCAAAGGGGGGTGTGTGGGGTGTGGAGGCCTTGAGACGTGGAAAAAGGCAATGGGACTGGCACGACTGAGGGCTGTGTTCAGAGCTGCAGTTGAAGTACTTTGCTGGTCAGAGCCTTGATGACCTGCAGAGAACTGACCTGCAGGACAGACTCGAGGACATAAGAGTGGCAGGTAGGGCAGAGCTGTCTTTAGGGCAGGTGCAGACCCATACAAAGCTGTAGCTTCAGTGCTGTTCCCAACATCACGGCCACAGGCGTTTGCCACAAATACAACGCTATCTCTGTCCTCTCATGACTTCTCCAGACTGGTCTGGTCCAGGGGGTGGTTAGACACCACTAACTTCTTTGGGATCAAACCGCAATCCTGCTTCAGCAGGGGAGTTGGACTTTTTGGGATCAAACCGCATGAACGTCTCATTCCTGGCCACTTGGCCCACATATCTTGTCTGCGTGAATTTTACTGGTTTTGTTGTAACAGCTTCCTGGGAACTGCTTTCATCTTAGGTTAGAAGCCTTTCTAACTGAATATCCTCTTAATCTATTCTTTCCCTCCCTGGCAAAACAGCCATGTAAATTGACAGGAGCCAGGAAACAGCAGCTTCGCAGCTAATAACGTGGGCTCCTGGTGTTTCCCTGCTGTGTTTTAGCGGGAGGTTGTCCCTCTGATGCTGCCGTGCTGTCGCATCGCTCCGTTCCCCACATCCCTGCTGCTAAACCAACATCCACGTGGGCTGCGCTCCTGAATGCCCAACCTGGCCTCGGCACGCAGGGACCCTTTCTAATCCTTGCAGCCTTTTCACATGACGTCAGTATTTTACCGTTGTGTCTTTTGCAATGTTTTATGTAACTCTGGATAAATGGAGTTAGCGTCTAGGAGCGGTGATGGCTTATCTGCTGGGGAGCAGGCTTGGGAAAGGAAATACAGTGCTCTTTTGTCTAAGTTACAAGGGCACCAGGAGCATCCCATATGGAGCATCCCATATGGAAACAGCAAGTATCTAGTGAGGTTACACCTTATATGCAGGAAGCCCCATAAAGGTGAGGCGTGGAGGAGGGTGGGAGAATGATCCTGGCTATAGGCAGAGGTTTGCTTTGAATAAATGCAGGTGACATCTCTGCTGTGCTAATGCCGATTTTCTTGCCAGCCTGTGTATTTAAGGTCACAGCCAATGTCAAAGCAAGAATTTGGGCTGTGCTGTCTGGGCTGCAGCCATGCTGGATGTAACACAGTTGTGTTCCCGGTGTTCTCCGGCTAAAAATCTGCATGTTGACAGTTTATTTCTCAGCCCTGTTTTTATTTTGGGATATATTTTTTTTCCCCCCTTCCGTGACTGTCAGTGTTTCGGAGGCTACTCTGCTGACGCTGGTGTCAGCACTTTGTACTCAGATGCTGTTTTCCTCTGGATGCTCAAGGCTGATGTGATAGATTTGCTCTTTCACTGTGCCTCCCCTTGCACCCCCGTACCCCACTTAATAAAGACAGAGCAGGTATCACTGGGTGGCAGCGCCACAGCCAGAAGGAGCAGGCTGGGAAATGCAGTGTGGTCCAGCCAGAGGAATGAGAACTCCTGCCGGCTTTATCAGGAAGGTGGAAGTTTGCTTTCTGTCCTCTTCCTCCTTTTGTTTCAGTCTCTTCACCAAAGCAAAGCAAGGAGCTGTTAGGGGATGATGAGACTCTGCTTCCCTGTTGTGAGTGCTTTAGCTTTTTAGAAAAAGAACAACAAAAGTTAATTCCCAGGTTTGTCATTAATTTACTGTCCCTGTCCCTTTGAATTGTACTTAGAAATGATGCAATTTTTTTTTTTATTTGAAGTCCAGCTGTCCAAAATCTGACCTTTGTAAGGTGTCGCACCCAACTGCTTCTAAATCCATCCTGCTTTCTAGCCACTTCCAGATATGTATGATAAAAGCCTAAAATTTGGTAGCCAGGTTGAAATGTGGGAGAGACTTCCAAAGCTAGTTAATACAAGTTGGCCTTGGGAAGTCACTTCTGTTGGCTTTCAGTCTTCCAGCCTAAATTACTCCATCAGAAATTAATTTTGTTGACTGTGCTTTTCTTATTAATATTTGGCTCTCTCTGCCTCAGTTTACACAGCTGTAATGAGTAATTATGAGTTTCCTATCTAGGTACAGCTCGGAAATGAGCACCGTGGACATGATTTTGCATGCTCAGAGTTATATACTCATTTTGGAGAGATTCCCCATTCTGCTAAGATTGGTGTTCATGGGACATCAGCTACAGGGACATGCTGGAGGCGGTAGCACGAAGGAGGGCTCCCATAGCAAGGGCTTTGCATCGCTTAGAGTTTGTTGGTGTTTGTTGTGTGGTCCGTGTCCCTCCACCTTGGTGTACCTTGCTCTGAAAACACCAACGTGGTGTCTTTTGGCGCCAACAGTGTCTGTCCCCATCTGCTCAGCCCTGTGGCCGCTGGGAACAGTGACATTGCTCATAGATATGTGCTTGAGCACTGCTCACTGAGCAGCGTGGCTGAGGTCGCTGGAGCAGGGACAGGCTGTGCTGTGCCCTCGCACAAGAGGACATTGTTTCCCCTCGTGAATCACAGAGCCCTTTCATCCCAGTGGGTACCCGCACCTGGTGTTTCAGAGAAGGTGATCATCTCCTCTCCCTCTGACATGAGCTTCTTCACTTGGCTTTGGCGTGGGGAGGAATTATTGCTCTTATGTTGTCTTCAGTCACAGGGTTTGATATTTAGGGTTGTTTGGGATTTTTTGCGTTGCTCAGTTCTTGGCTCTTTAGCGGGGGAGGATGAGAGCAGTGGTATAAAATGATAACTGCCTGTATGGGATGAAGGCTGAATTTTCAATAGTTGTGAAAACAGTCCAGTTTTGGAGATCTGGCTTGGACACTTGTCAGGGTCAGGTTTGGGAGCTTTTGCTTATGCAAAGCAGCAGAAGCGGGTTGTTTCCATTTTTCCATTTTGTTGCCGATGGGGCTGTCTTTGTCCAACTGTGCCCTGGTGTACCCTAACAGAGGCTCACTGCCCCTGGAGAAGAGCTGCTGTCAGAATACTTTAAAGTCGGTCAGACTGGGTCCTGCTTCGTGAGGTTTATCAGCAAAGATTTTCAGTGCCTCCAGTGGGAGGCTATTTTTATTCTATCCAGGGGCTACCTTCTGCTCTGAGGTCTTTATCACATTTTTTTTGAGTAGAGAAACCTGCTTGTTTTAGGACAACCTTAAATATCTTCATTTTTTACAATCTGAAAAAGAAGAGTCTTTTATCCAAGGTAAAAGTTTTTGGCATTTCTGGGATTTCTTTTTGTTTTTTTGTTTTTTTTTTCCTGTGTAAGAGGGTGTAAATGCGCTGAGTTTTCTCCCCTGAGCAGGGATGACAGCAAGCAAGGTACCTAATGATTCATCTTCCTACTCTGGTTGGGGCTATGACTGTTGAAGAAAATCCATGTTGTGTTTCATTGCACCTTGTAATCAAGACTGGAAGAGCTCTCAAGAGATCATCTGGTTCATTTTCCTGCCCTTTGGCAAGATCAGTCATACCTGTGTCTTTCCTGACAGATGCTGGTCTATGCTTTTTTAAAGACCTCTGCAGCCTCTCCGGGCAGCATGTTTCAGTGCTTCACAAGCACAAGTTACCAGTAAGAGTCTGGTTTCTCCCCACCTTGTATTTAACCTGAACCATCTCTGCTGCAGTTTAAACCTGTCGCTTCGTGTCTTGCCCATTTTGAATACAAAGAACAGGTCTTTTTGCAGCAATATTAAATATTGGAAGGCTATTCACGTGCTTCTCTCTTTATGTTAAATAACCCATTTGTTAAATCTCCCCTTCTTTGTGGTGGATTTAAATCTTCTATGTAAACTTTAATTGGCCTGTCTTCTCAAAACTATTCTGTAAGTGACGATCCCAGTCATTAACTAATCCACAAACAGTTTAAACCCTTTGATCAGCATTTTATTTGTGTACTTTAATAGAAGCCGCCTATGCTGGCCAAATTGCCTATTTGTGCATTGCTGTCTCTGACTGATTTGATGGCCTTGTGCTGATGTACGAGCCAAGTATCCTCAAGGTTTTCTGCTGCTTGCTAACTGCCATTCACTCCAAGAGGAAGATTAGGTGCCCCAGCATGATGAGGGGCTCGGTGTGATCTGATTTTTTGTGGGATGGTGTTTGCGACGTGAAGGCTGTGCATTCAGATTGAAAGGGAGCGCAAAGAGAGGATAACCAGTCGTGGAGTCGTGGGTCTCTGCAGGCACCCAAAATATACATCGATGTATGCAGGAATTTGGAAACGAACATGTGCTCAGACAGGTGGTAGGCTGTGAAATGTCACTTGGTATTAGGGCCTTCTGATGTGGCTGTATTTGAATAGTCAGATCAGGCTTGGAGGTCAACCACTACAATACTGTGATTTGGATGATGACCTTGATGTGTAGGTTTTTGGCTCCAAGGGAATGTCAAGGAACCTTATGCTTTAGCAGGACATATGGGGAGGACAGAAAGGGGGGTCGTATTCCCTTTCAGTAATTTTCTCTGGATTTCTTTGTTGTAGGTGAGTGTTTTAACCACCTTGGAGCGGCGATTCAACCTCCAGAGTGCTGATGTGGGTGTCATTGCCAGCAGCTTCGAGATTGGCAACCTGGCCCTCATCCTCTTCGTGAGCTACTTCGGAGCCCGAGGACACCGACCACGCTTGATAGGATGTGGAGGGATAGTCATGGCCTTGGGTGCCCTCCTTTCCGCGTTGCCTGAATTTCTGACGCACCAGTATGAATATGAATCGGGAGAAATACGCTGGGGGGCCGAAGGGAGGGATGTGTGCGCTGCCAACGGGTCCACCAGCAATGAGGGACCAGACCCGGACCTTATCTGCAGGAATAGGACTGCTACCAACATGATGTACTTGCTGCTCATTGGAGCACAGGTTCTCCTGGGCATTGGTGCTACCCCTGTCCAGCCCCTGGGAGTTTCCTACATTGATGACCACGTGAGGCGGAAAGATTCCTCCCTGTACATAGGTAAGGCTCTCTGAACTTCTCACTGAAGGCTTTCCTTGCGGGCCGGCATCTCCCTCTTGTCTTATCTGTTTGATGCCAGTGGGAGAGATGCCTTGAGGCTTCTTCTCCATGTGCTGCTGTGCTCATAAAGGTAACTTGGCAGGGGTCTCTACACCAAGCTGTTGTAAGCAGCAGGGAAGCACAGTGATACTTGCTTTTATTGTAGCAACGGTAAAGGTTGACAGCCATGGTGGTTATTACTGGATGATTAGGAAGATGCTCACTCCTTCTACTGTGTTTGCCCAGATTGCTTTATATTCTGATACTGGTTGCTTGTGGTTGACTTTGAGCTGAAGAGTTTCCAAGTGGCATACAATGATGGTGATTTCTTTTTTTTCCCCAAGATGCCCTAATTCCCTTCCTGTTCCTGAAGCATTTGTCTGTGTCTGAGTGATCATGGTAGTATAAACAGACTGAGAGGAAACGCGTGTCTTATCACTAACACCATCACATTTTAGCAAGGAAGTGCCTGTCACGGAGTAGGTGCTGTGACCCCATGTGCTGTGGCAGGACCCCAGATAATGTGATCCCCGTAACGGAATGGGATGCGGAAGCTGGTGAGGTCTATTTTGAGATATGGTGAGCCTGAAGTAGAACTCATGATTCTGGTGATCATGTTGCAAAATTCTTCCAGATAGTTAAGATATGAAATTTGGCTTCCATTACCCAATGGAACATCTCTTACTGGGGTAAAGCGCTCATGGGTTTCAGCAGTTGTGTCCTCTCCAGCAGGTTTAAAGAGAATTTTGTGGGTGAAGTTGTCTTCTGAAAAAAACTGACCAGCTTGACTCATTCTTCTTTCTGCAGGACTTGTCATTAGATAAATGGCTCCAATGGAATAAATCAATGAAGTGTGTGTTGCCATTGATGCGGTCCTTCTGCACTTGCTAGTGTAGTTTCTAAGAACCACAACTGTGCACTTGTCCTATCGTCCCAGTTTTGGCTTGACTGTCAACTGAATGGATGATCCCATTAGCAGTTATTGTTTTGTGAAGACATTTTTTATCAAGGTTCCAAGCGTAACTGCACACAGCTGGGGTATGGCCATAGACAGCAAAGCTGAACTGTCCTGCTGACTTTTTGAGTGGTGGTCAGTGTCTTGGGATAGTGCAGAGGCCTGTGGGAAAGGATAACTATATAACATGCTGTAGCATTCCAGGATGTATTGGTACTTTAACTGATGAGCTGCTCTGCATATTCAAAGTGTGTCCATGTTTTTCTGTAACTGGCTGTAAAATCATAGTATTTCAGCTTTTAGCTTGGTCCCTGGACCATTATTCATCTTCACGTGGTTCTGTAAGTGCTTGTGAGGGATCCACTGGATAAAAAAAGATGATATATAAAATACAAGAGACTGTACAACCTGAAGGTGAATAATGAGACTAAATTCACTGCAGCAACTTTGCCAACACCATAAATGATGAGCTGGAATTAAGAGTGATTCTAAGATTATCTATTATAAATAACTATATAGTGAAGCAGCAACTTCTTTCAGTCTGTTCCATGGGCATTTTTTAAGCAACGCTTCATGTCTGAGAACAGGATTGAGGAGGGTGCATGAGAGGAGGACTAGGAAGAGTGATTCTTTTTGTTCCTGAGATACATTCATCTTGTATGCTAAAATAACTTCTTTAAAGTTGGCAGTTCAACTGTAGCTGAAAAAATACTGCCAGAAAATGATTTCTGCTTACTATATGCTGCTTCAGACATATGCTTCTAACCATGTTCCTTTTTCCATGTAGAGTCGAAAAAAGCACAAGCATTTTGGGGTTGTTTGCTTTACTGGCTTTAGCTATGAAAATCATAATCTGAATTTCTACATATGAATTATGGGTTGCAGAAAAGTGCACGTGTATGCACTCTCAACCAATCAGCCATACCAACAATGAAGTTTAATATCTGCCCTGTCCCAGCCAATCCATCACAAGCCGGTTTTCAGATATGGGATGATTAATTCTTACATCAACTTGCAGTCAATTTGGCTAGTAAAAATGAAAGCTAACAGGAGAAAATTACAGGGGAAAAAAGGTATTCTGTGAATGAATATAAATGGAGAAGAAGCTGGTGGAAATGTACGTGCCTTCTCAGGTTTGTGAATATTTAAGAGGAGGTCAGACTTTTCGATTTGAAATGTTGTTCGAGAATTATTTGCTTAGATTGGTCTTTAGCAGATTATTTTTGTTGATGTCACCAATGCAATTTCCAGTGGCCTTAGCAGAAAGCTGGCTGAGCAGCTTACTCACTTCATTCTCCTCTGTTTCGCAGAGGAAATAACTGCAGAGTGTATACTGTCACTGTGCTATATTTATATCAGTTTGCTTTCTCATAATAGCATGCTCACTCAGTAGGGGCTTCGCTGTGTGTGACCGGATAAAACAGTTTTTTGGGTAAGTTCCCTCAGTTTTAAATTAGGAGCAAATCTGGCATAGGTTGCTCCCTCAGGATAGAAACTAATTAATAACAGCGGTAATAGTCTGGCCGAACTTTCCATCATGGCTGGCTGTGGCTGAGAAATGATCAGGTTGACCAGTCCGTGCTGTCTTCAGTGTATTGCTAACGTCCAGTACGTATACGCTGCGTTTGGGCTGTTTTGTAGCTGGGGGGAAGAAGCAGTCTCCCACCTGACAGCTAAGTACTAGTAATTGTTCAGCTGCTGCAATAAAAGCTCTCTTGTGTCCCAAGGGCAGTGAATCAGAAACAGCACAATGCACTGAGAGGTTTTCTTCCTTCTGAGTTGTACGAGAGTTCGGTGGAGTAAATTCATATAATATCTAATGCAGCCTCTTTGCAGTGAAATGACAATACAGGGAGATTCCTCCAACCACAGCCCACCTCCAAACCTTCTTTTGAAAAAAAACATTATTAGTACTAATATATGTGTGCAGAAGACTGCAGGGGTGGTACCATATATGAATTGAAAGTGAAACTTTGTCTTTAACTTCTAGTGCAAGTAGTAGCATCCGTGGAATCTAACACAGTTCTGGCCATGAAGTCCGTCAAACCTGGCTCGTTGTGGTCCCTCTGCCATGCCAGGCCCATAGGAGATGGTGGGCAGAGCACTTCTGTTGTGCATCCTTTGAAGGCAGAGGTTGCTCAGGCTTGTGCTCAGCCAAGGATGTGGGGATTCATAGTTTCATAATTAGAGAGACAGGGGTGAGATATTACAGGAAGATATCTCTGTGGCATGGGCTGCTGACATGTAGTTTCATGTTCCTTGAGCTAATAGCATATTTTTTGATGCCTGCAATGTGTTGCTACCAAACTCAAACAGCTTCTGTTGCTGTAGTAACCAGCCCTAGGAAAAGGGCTGTGTTGTGGTAACTGAGGGCAAAACAAATAAAAAAGATGCATGCGTGGAAGTACGCACCAAAGGATGTTCAAAAGGAAACACGCCTGTGCTGTAACAGAGTTAGATAGTGGGACCATGCCTGCTCCTGCTAATGATGGGAAATACATTCTCCTCCTATTTCAGCATCTGGGCCCCTGCTCAACACAAAGGCCGTAACATTGGCAATAGCAGCCAAAAGATGGAAAAGAAAAAAAAAAAAAAGGGATTTTCTTAGCTGTAAGAAGTTGGGAAAAATCTTTTGGTTTGCTGCTGGTTTGCTTGCTTCTCTCTGTTTGGGTCTGCTCTTTATTTAAGATCTGAACTCCCATCTAGAGGTTTCCAAAGAAGCAGGTTAATTTTGCCACTGTATTTATTGGCGTTTGGCGTAAGTAACCCCTTTGAGTTGAGGAATTCCTCACTCCTGCAGATTGTGTAGCAGTAACGAGCATTGTTCCAGCTTCACTCATGTCAAAGGGTTCCCTCAATTTGTGGCATCGTTTATTTTGAAGGAGGAAAACTGTGTTGAAGACTACTTACTACACAGTTCCTTTCACTACCCGGTAATGACTCACTTGACATTTCCCTCATTTCTTTAGTTCATTTTCTGCTAGGTCTTGCTGAGTTCTGTTAAAATCAATGGAGACTTTGTCATTAGCAGGGGGAGGAGAGGTGTTGTGGAGTTGATACAGCAGGGGGAAAAAAACTGATCTGACAGTGGTTGTATGGATTTGCTGCCTCTTAGACAAGCAAGAGCTTGCGAGTGGTTTCTGGTCACTGGAGTACCCACGTTGCTCTCAGCAGTGGTTTGGGTGTTCAGTGAGAGCCCAAGCAGTGATGTGGTAGATTAATGTTATTAACAGTCTCTATATACGCGCCTTCTGGGCTTCCTGCAGCATTTAACATTTGCTGATAGAAGTTTGTTGCATCTTGTCTAGAACATGATTACCTATAGAGCAGAATTTATAGCCTCTGGGAGCCAGTATTTGATCTGGGACAATTAAGGGCTGCATTATGTAGAGGAAGTTGCTATTATTCTGTCTCCTGTTGATGGAGGAAATTGATAATGATGTTGGAGGGAGCACTGCCAGATTGTGTGGCTCATTCAGAAGAATGCTGTGTTGATCTTTAATGCGTTGGAGATTCTCTTTTAAGTTTGCTGAAGCTGTCTCAGTGTTTAACTTCATGGACACATACCACATGTTCAGGAGCCGCCACTTCAGACTCCTCGCTGACATGCAGAAACTGCTCTAATGGGAAGAAGAATTTGAAGGAAGTCCCAGAGGGGGCAAGTCTTGCGTCAAGGAGTAAGTGATGAGGAGTGATGAGTGCTTCCGAGTTATTAGCAGTGCAAGGGTGTACCCGAGTTTGGTGTGCCCAGGGGAACAGAGCTGTTCTTGGCCTGCTTCGTGGCAGGGTGGAGGAACAGAGAGATAGAAAACTCAGCACTGCTGGATGTGTCTGTTGAATGTCTGTCTTCTGTCTCCTCTCCTAGGTTTCTATCTGCCCTTCTCGGTCTGTATTTTGGTTTATCATAAGGTTGTTCCAGCTGTTACCCTTCTTATAAAAGGAGAACTCGATGTGGCGTTCTCTGTCCACATCTGCCCCAATGGGACTAACCCAGTAAGGGGGAAGG